TTCTTTGTATGTAAGGTCTTGGTTGAGATAAAAAAGTCAGTATCACGAGCGGGATTCGAACCCACGACCTTCGGCTAAATACGCCGCTACTCTACCACTTGAGGTATCGTGACTTTATTAATTATTATGTTATTTCCTTAAAATATGATGTTATGTCCCCTTGTTTTAAAAAAATGTATGTTTTTCATTGGTCCAGTTTTTGACTGGAAATCTTGCTGTAACCACTTGAGCTATCGTGACTTCGATCCACCGCAGCCGAAGGTGGTGGGTTCGAATCCCACTCGTGACACTAACTTTTTCGTTTCAACTAAAATCTTACATACAAAAAATTAATTGAAAGAAGTAATATGGTTAATAGACCACTAAATATAACGGAACTAATTTTATATACATAAAAAATTTCACTTAGCACAAAATAAATTAATATAAGTAATTACAATTAATTAAGGTTTTTAGTTGAGATGAAAAAAAGCTAATGGCACGAGCGGAAAAAATGGCAAAAAAAATGAAAAATGGCAAAAAGGAGGGAAAACTCATAAGGTGGGGTTGAGATGGGAAGTTAGTGTCCGAGTGGATCGAGGTCACGATAGCTCAAGTGGCAGAGCAGCGGCGTATCTAGCCGAAGATCGTGGGTTCGAATCCCGCTCGTGCCATTAACTTTTTTTCATGTCAACTAAAAACCTTAATTAATTGTAATGTATTAATTGGTCAAGCGGACCACGAAATTAGTGAATTTAATATAAGTAATATTGAATAAACCTAGATGATATACTCCTGAATTATTATATAAAAAATTTGATTTACTGAAAATAAAAAAATCGTTCCTTGGATCTGCTTGCGTTTATATATACAGGGTGTACCAACTTCTACAATTCACCCATGTAATTCGAAAAGACTAGCAATAGCAAAAAAATGGTCTTATACAAACCCCAATTAATTTTGGGTAGGAATCGCCTGGTGAAAACAGATTTAACATAACTTTCTCATCTAGCTGGGAAATGACACAAAGTTTGTTATGTTGAATAAGAATCCCATAATTTTTATTGTACCATTCTATTTTTCGAGCTTATTTTATGCTACTTTTACTGAAATGAAAATTTTGATAGGATCGACCATTTCTGAGTTACGTCCGACGGAAGACGCATGAGGGGGTATGGTTTATGTAACAACGAGATGGCCGACCCCCTTTATTTCTAAAAGGATTAAATTTAACAAAAAAAATTGCCTTAAACAAACCCCAAGTCAATTTTGGCTAGGAATCGAGTGGTGGTAACAGATATATTATAGTTTTCTCCTCTAGCTGGGAAATGACATTAACTTTGTTATTTTACATGAAAAACCCCTATTTTTTTGTATAATTTGATTTTAGAACTTATTTTTGCCACTTTTACTGAAATGAAAATTTTAGGATCGACCATTTCTGAGTAATGCCCAACGTATGCCAGATAAATGAGAAAGTTATGTTCAATCTGTTACCACCACGCGATTCCTATCCAAAATTAACTTGTAGAAGACCATTTTCTGATAAAGTTTACGAATTAAACGAGAGGACTATTGAAGTTGATACACCCTATATATACAAAAGTTATTCACCATAATTGACTGATAATATGTAAATGAGAATGATTGCGTTGGGGGCTGAAATGACCAGAAGTGGCCATAGCTTACGACCGTTTTTTAGACCAAACTTATATTTTTTAAATTAAAGTAGCGTTTTTGTACAGAATGAAGCAGATTCCATAAGATTCCAAGCTTTAAAGACGCTTCCCGGACGGAGAGCATCCCCTCGACCATCGTAGAAGCTTACTAGAATGCAAACTGATAGCCAAAATTCTGTCATCCCCGACTCACCCGCTATTTTCAGAATACACACTCGGGCGGTTACCCCCATTAGACTATGCTTTAAACTGCAAAAGAAAGCATTTTATGTCCAGAGCAACGATCTGCTTAAATTCACTCAATGCTGGATCTCGCCAAATTCCCGAAAGAAAATACTCCTCCTTATTTATATAGACAGGAATTTTCAAGAATAAGGGCCACTTTCCCAAGCCACACCCTTGCCTTCACCGACGGATCACACAGCGAAAACGTAACAGGCGCGGCATTCATGAACAACAAAAAGGTATATGTCCTCCCTGCCAAATTTTACTACCGAACTAACTGCTTGAGACTCTCATGCGTACAAGTAATTTTCGTGTGGATTCCAGGACACTGTGGTTTAGTGGCGAACAACGAACAGGCGGATATTGCTGCAAAACGGGCTACCATTGATGGGATCCCACTTAAGTACACTCCTCACACAGATTTTATCTCCCACTTGAAAGAAAATGTATGGCAGAAGTGGCAGGAGGAATGGAGAGCAGTGAGGGACAACAAGCTAAGGGATATTAAACCAAATGTTGGCCCTTGGGACTCCTCAGTGCGCGACTCGCGGCTCGAAGAGACTGTGTTGACGAGACTTAGAATCGGGCATAGTAGACCCACGGGTACCTTATGTGCAGAGAACCGGCCAATTGCCTTAATTTTGAGCAACAAAGAATATTTCGTAATCTTCCAAGCCAATTAGCGGAGATTCTTGGTGATGATCCCCCTGTTATCAATAGACTCTTTGACTTTCTGAGATCAACGCGTTTGTTTCAGAAAATATAAATAGAAGATATACATTAGATATGCATATAGATGTATGGGTATATCGGCGCTCGCTCGCGTATGTGTACACCTGTGGAAGAATAGAGAGTGTAAGATAGAGAAGGGATGAAAGAAGAAAAAAAAATCGATAAACAAAGAAACTTTCGAAGGCAGAAATAATGAATAAGTAGTTATGAGGATTCCACGGCGGATAGTCAGGTTGCGGGGGGGCTCGGTGGTCGGGGGCAGGGCTTGGGTTGGTTGTATCCACTCCTACGGAACCTCGGGTCAGCACTAGGACCCCCGATCTGGGAGGCATGTGGATGATAGCAGTGGTGTGCACATCCCTCTGAAAAATCGGCTGCTCTAAGCAAAACTTAAATGTTCAATGCAGGTGGTATTACCCAGTGGGTGGAATGCCGTAGGCTGGCCGCCTGTTCGCCTGTTCGCCTGCCCGGTGGCCGTCCTCGGCCTGGCAAATCCAAAATGATCTAGGCGAAATATGATCCTATGAGATTGAACGAAAAAAAAGACGCTTCAAATATTGTTTTGAAAGTTAGGAAACAATGTTGTGATTCATTTGCAACTCTCCATCACTTAGGCTGTTTGAAGTCTCGTTTTTTATGTTGAATTTATCTCAAAAACTAGCTTCCTAACTAGGTTATCGTCTATCAACTTCCTACCGCAACGGGAAAAATTCTAGCTCGATTAGAAAATTCTATCAGTATATTATCCTCCCACACCCTTCGTCATATTGAAACGACTATTTTTTTATTTTTTAGATGAAGCATAACCACGATAAAAATAAAAGAAAAAAGTTGTTATGTCATAGCTACAATGTTCAAGATCATTTAACTAGGCCATTAACTACAAATACGTAGTATACTATGAAAATGAAAACGACAAAAAAATCGGTCATATTAGACCAAATTGATATTGAAAAAATGGTACAGAAAAGTGGAAACTTTCTAGCCTATTTTTGGACAACTAAATTTCTTTCAAAAATTGTATAAATATGGTAAAACCTCAGGCTTTAATATATATTAATAGTATAAACAGTAAAAATGGACATAAGCAAATAATAGGAACAAATACAAGCTGTTCTTCCAAAATGTGGATACTAACCCTTAACCAAAAAAATAACTTATTAAAAAATGTAATAATAATAATCAAAATGAACTAGAACAGAACTAGGACTACATATTTGAACATGGTAGGGACATTGTTCAACTTAAAAAATGTGTTCAGATAATGTGTTTTTAAAATAGAAAATAAGTATTTCAATTAATTATTTTTTTATATAAGGTTTTGGTTGAGATGAAAAAGTTAGTGTCACGAGCGGGATTCGAACCCACGACCTTCGGCTCAATACGCCGATGCTCTAACAACATGACACTACCTTTTTCATCTCAACTAGGACCTTACATAAAAACAATAATTAATATGGTCAATTAAACCACCAAACATAAATGGATTAATAGAATATAAGCTTTATTTTTTGAATAATTTAAATTTAATATGGTGGTAAAAATATTTAAATGAAAGTTGTTTATTTTTTTTTTTTTTTGCCTAAACTCTCGATTTATTTTTAGACAAAATATTTTAATTTCTAGTGCATTTCGTGCTACGTGATTGGTCCCGCTTCAGAGCTCACTATTTAGCTAAATGGAACGAATATAGTGTTTAGTTTATAAAAAAAAACTTTTTAGATTGTGTTTAGGTTAAAAAAAATTTCTAGATTTACATAAAAAAACATGTAATAATAATAATCAAAATGAACTGGAACAGTTCTAGAACTACATATTTGAACGTGGTAGGGACTTTCTTCAACTTAAAACATGCAATGTGTTCAGTTAGTGTGTTTTTAAAATAGAATATAAGTATTTCCATTAATATTTTTATGTGAGGTCTGGTTGAGATGAAAAAGTGAGTGTCACGAGCGGGATTCGAACCCACAACCTTCGGCTAAAAAATAGAGAGCCGAAGGTCGTGAGTTCGAATTCCGCTCATGACACTAACTTTTTCATCTCAACTAGGACCTTACAATAATTAATATGTGGTCAATTAAACCACTATACATAACTGGATTAATAGAATATAAGTTTTATTCTTTTAATAATGTAAATTTAATATGGTGGTAAAAATATTGAAATTTAGAAAATTGGTTATTTTTTTATTAAACACACGCTTTATTTTTATGCAAAATATTTTCATTACTGATGCATTTCGTGCCACGTCACTGGTCCCTTTTCAGAGCTCGCTGAACTTTCTAGATTGTGTTTAGTTTTAAAAAAACTTTCTAGATATAAATATAAACTTGGCTATTTGATCTCGTTTTCGTGTTTTCATGTCAATTATTATTTTGGTTTCAGCCGAAAGAAAGTCTTCTCTCGGCAAAGACTGGCACGCTGCCTGCTTAAGATGTGAAAAGTGCAACAAGACTCTGGTTCCAGGAGGTCACTCTGAACATGTCGGAAAGCCGTATTGCAATCAGCCATGCTACAGCGCGCTTTTCGGACCCGGAGGTATATTATAAATAAACTTTTTAAATAAATTCAAGTGCTATATAACACAACGTAATTATTGTGTTAATTTTTTCTCAGACTTGAGAGGATTTGCTAAATCTTTCAGCTAATTGATAATTTAATCTTTTTTGTCATTGATTAGTCATAAATTTTCTTTTATAACGTCATTGTCACTGGAATGTTTAAAAAACACACTTCAAAATTTAAAAAAAAAAGATTATCAGCAAAAAATGATCTTTTTAAAAAGATTGCACATCACATTCACTCCACCATTTATCATTCCTATTAATTCACTAGAGAAAAGTTATTCCTTAAATAATATTAAATAATATAAATAATAATATCAGTATTATGGGGCGTCGGTAGCCGCAACGGTTTAGGCGTTGACACGGCGCTCATCACTGTATGGTAAAGGTCCCGGGTTCGAATCCAGCGGCCCGACATACTTACAAATGGGCTTCTTTTTTTTTTTTCAAAAACACCGGCACCCCGAGGGTTGATATAACCTCTGCTGTCGCGAACCCTCGTTTTAAAAAAATCAGTATTATGTTCTCTATTTCTTTTTTTTTTTTTTTTGTTACAGGATTTGGAAGGGGTGGTTCTGAAAGTTACGTTTACAATTAAAGTATTACATATGGTAAAGTATTTATTTGTTGGTTTAAGCTATTACGTACCTTGATTATCATCGCTCATTCCACCGATCCTGATCGAAACAACATTTTACACGATGAAATTTTGAATTTTATTAAATAAAAGATATGTTATTTTTGTTTCTTTTCTTTTTCCTTTCCTCGCTCCCGAGCCCATTTCCCAGTTATTTCGTAAATGTTTAACAAATATTCTCTTCAACGGGGAACGATAATAATTCTTTATTCCTGCGTAAACTTCGAGTCAATTCCCGGGGAAGTTGTTTGAAGTACGCCCAAATTCCACATGACCTGATAAGACTTGTTAATTAACGGTAATTGACTCAAAATGTGTTGAAGTTAAATTGCTACGGAGTCTAATTAGGCTCATTATAAACGCGGTTTTGTTAATAGAAGAACTGTTCGGTTTAGCAATTTTCCCTACGAACAAAAATAACACCAACTTCCTTTAGTGTTACTCGTTAGAGTATTTTCTTTTAAAAATTCAAGGAAATATATACATTATATCTAGGGTTGTGATTTATAAGCAATAAAAACAGACAAGTATGCACACATATATGTAAATATATTTTGTAAAATATGCAATTTAAAATTTTCTAAAACTACCATTAACTAAAACTACCAAAAGAACATTTTCATGTTGCACCAAACTCGGCCAGAGAAGGCACATATATTCATTAAAATGTCTGGCAATGTGGCATGGTTATATTTTTCAAGTACCTCATTCAGCAAGAAAAGTTGTGAAGGTGAGTCTGCGGAGAGTTTTCCCACGATTCAACATCCGTCGTCGGGGAGTCGGCGGCCGCAACGGTTTAGGCGTTGACACGGCGGTCATCACTGTTTTAAGGTGGCCATTCACGATCACTCCAAATGGAACGGCGCCAAGCCGTACAGCTCCATTTGGAATGCCTGAAATTTGAGGGGGCATTCACGACCACTCCACAGCCAGTCGCTCCGAACGTCAACCAGCGAATTACCTTCTCAAAATGGATGACGATCTCTTGTGCTACGCTTCTGTTTATTTACATATTAAAAGCAAAAAATCGAAGAGGAAATGGTGTGAGAAGTGGCTCCTGAACAGAAGCCGTAATACCTACATCACTTTGATGAAAAATCTTTCCCTTGAACCCGCTGATTGGAGCAACTATTTAAGGATGAATGAAACGTCTTATTTATTCATTATATTTAGTATTCTATTGACCAAATTACTTCTTTCAATTATTTAATCTTTTTTGTAAGGTTTTGGTTGAAATGAAAAAGCTAGTGCCACGAGCGGGATCTGAATCCATGGCCTTCGGCTAAATACACCGCTGCTCTACCCCGTTTGGGCATCGTTCTTTCGGAGTGTAAACTCGTAAAACGAAATTACATGAATTATTCCCGAGTAACGAAATGTTATTGAGGTAAATAAAATTTTCCTTTGGATGAGGATTAAAAAGTGTTGACATTGAGATGGGAAGTTGGTGTCCGAATGGGTTAATGTCCCGATAGCTCAAGTGGTAGAGCAGCGGCGTATCTAGCCGAAGATCGTGGGTTCGAATCCCGCTCGTGCCATTGACTTTTTATCTCAACTAAAAACCTTAATTAATTGTTCAAGCGGACCACGAAATTAGTGAATTATACAAAAGAATAATTCATCAAACATAGACAGTTTATGTCGATGGGTAATTGAATGAAAACCTGTATTATTTTTCGGACAACCCAATCTTGAAGTGATTTTTCTTAACTTAAAAGCCTAATTGTTGTTGGAGTAATTATTAAATTTGAATATTTTGAAATATTAACTATATCTGATCATCAGCCTCCGGCACCCCGAGGGTTTATATGACCTCTGCTGTTGCGAACCCTCGTAAAATTTAAAAAATAAAAAAATAAGAACAGAAATGGAAAAAATTGGCTACAGTCATCATCTAGGTGGTTTTTTGTTTTTTTTTTCTTCAAACCCAAAAAGTACCCATCTACTTCCCTTCCTGCTCTAGATTTAGGCCAAGTGTTTTTGACATGTGTTTGACCAAAAATATTACTTTTATATACAAACTTACACCATTTGTGTTCATCTGATCATAATCCAGTTCATTACATATTTAATGAACCTTTAACCGTTCCACGAAATAATTTAATAAACTATAACTGGAACCATGCTAATTGGGGACAATTTATAATGATAATAATTCAGAAATTGAAGACATTCCCTACACTCACTGACCCTAATGGTCTTGATAACAACATTAACGAATTCGGGGAAATTATTAAAGTGCTTGCTGTGGTATCTATTTCAAAAAGCGGCCTTCCTAATTGTAAATCAGAACAAAAGTCTTAATTATCTTGCTTAAAATAAAAAATAAATTAAGACGATTTTACCAAAAAACAAATAAAATACAATAAAAGGCTAAACAAAACTAAGTAACTTCACACTTAAAAGTTTATATCAGTACAATTAATTAAGGTTTTTAGTTGAGATGAAAAAAAGTTAATGGCACGAGCGGGATTCGAACCCACGATCTTCGGCTAGATACGCCGCTTCTCTACCACTTTAGCTATCGTGACCTCGATCCACTCGGACATCAACTTCCTATCTCAACCCCACCTTATGAATTTTCCCTCCTTTTTGCCATTGTTCAATTATCGTCGAGAATCCAAACCGATTACACGACATTTGAAAAAATTAATTGAAAGAAGAAATGTGGTTAATAGACCACTAAATATAACGGAACTAATTTTATATGCATAAAAAATTTCACTTAGCACAAAATAAATTAATATAAGTAATTACAATTAATTAAGGTTTTTAGTTGAGATGAAAAAAGGTAATGGCACAAGCGGAAAAAATGGTAAAAAAATGAAAAATGGCAAAAAGGAGGGAAAATTCATACGGTGAGGTTGAGATAGGAAGTTGATGTCCGAGTGGATCGAGGTTACGATAGCTCAAGTGGTAGAGAAGCGGCGTCTCTAGCCGAAGATCGTGGGTTCGAATCCCGCTCGTGCCATTAACTTTTTTTTCATCCCAACTAAAAACCTTAATTAATTGTAATGATTTAATTGGTCAAGCGGACCACGAAATTAGTGAATTTAAAGAATTAATATGAAGTACACTTCACTAAAGCTCTCCGTGACCATTTCAATTGTCGTCGAGGATCCAAACCGATTACACGACATTTGAACAATGGCAAAAAGGAGGGAAAATTCATAAGGTGGGGTTGAGGTAGGAAGTTGATGTCCGAGTGGATCGAGGTCAGGACAGCTCAAGTGGTAGAGCAGCGGCGTATCTAGCCGAAGATCGTGGGTTCGAATCCCGCTCGTGCCATTAACTTTTTTTTTCATCTCAACTAAAAACCTTAATTAATTGTAATGATTTAATTGGTCAAGCGGACCACGAAATTAGTGAGTTTACATCAGTGTCAAAATGCAAAACGTAATAAGTAATTATCAAGGTTTTATGTTGGAGATCCTAACTGTAGCCAATAAAACCAATAAAATTATTCCAGATATACCTCCTCTCTTAAATAACATTTCGTTATCAATATAAAACCGCGAGGAAGGCCATAGGACTCAAAAATTGAAATTATTTTTGAGAAAGTACATTACATGAACAAAACCTGGGTGTTACCTCATTTACTAAAAAAATCAATAAAGTTATTAAAAACATTTATTTCCGTTTAATAGCAGTACTCAGAGATAAGAGCCGGCCTCTTTACGACCTATGCAACGCGATCAGTATTGGTCTATTGTGCAACTCCATTTTTTTAGCTCCTCGTTAAGCTTGAGGCTTTTTACCAGACCCCAAAGCTTTTTCAAGGGCTCCCGTGTGTATCCTTCTGATTCTGGCCTCTCCCAGGATTAGGAATCTCAGCCTACATAGGTTCACACCAACAGAGGTCGTGTTCCGCTTCCTTTTTCATCCTGGCAATATCTGCACAGGCTTGTTTCTGTCACTCCGAGTCTATACATACACCTCCGGAGTCTGCAGTGTCCAATTAGCAGTCCAACTATTATTCTAGTCCTAGCAAGTCCTAGATTTAGTAGTTCTGCCATTAGTTTCTGCGATGGTCGTTTGATAAACTTTTTCGCTCTGTCCAGGGTGCTCTTCGGTTAAAAACCTAGGAGTAGTCTTTGACCAAAACCTTTCCTGGCATTGTCACATTTCCCAAATTTCCGCCATTCCATTGCCTCCCTCAGCCTGTTTCGTCGGTCCTGGCTTCTCTTACCTTTCTCCACCCGCAAACTCCTTGTATCTTCCCTTCTTCGATTATAGCTGTTTGGCATACGGTGGTCTCTCGGAGGGGGAGAACGCGCGATGGAAGCGTATTATGAATTGTTGCGTAAGATTTGTGTACGGCACCCCACGGGGATCCCGGGTGTCGGGGTTGTATTCCCAACTTTCCTGGCTATTCCCCTCCTTCCGTGCACAGTATTTCCTAGGTTGCTTTCTTTTCCAGTCCATCCACACTCGTCGTCCTCCTTACATCATCCAATCCCTCCAATTCAACTCCTCACATCTCACTCGTAAGACCCGCTCATCCCCAATCGACCTTATCCTTCCGCAACATACAACCCATACCTTCGAAAGATCTTTTCTGATCCGAGCCCCTAAACTCTGGAGCTCCCCCTTTCTATTCCTCACGCTGCCTACTTTTCCTCCTTTAAATCCCACCTGTATAATCACCTCCTCTCCCTCCAAGCAGAGACCTCACGTTAACTTTTGTTTAATATTCTCGTAATTTTTTCTTCTGTCCTGCTTTATTGGTATACATTGTGCCAACATTTCTATCCTTTATTTTTACTTTTACCTTCATAGAAGGAACTTCTTTTATTTATTTCATGTAAATTATTCTTATGGGACACCAGTCCCAGAATAAAGTTATTTTTCTTCTTCTTCTATATTCCCATTGAAGGAGGACTTATTTTTAATCCATTGTCTAACGGATCCGTGTTTTTGGCAGTTTGGTAAGCCGCAAAAGGGTTCAGGGTCAATAGGTGTCCTCATTGGACTTACCTTGGCCAATTTATCGGCCTCTTCGTTGCCCTTCTGCTCTGAGTGCCCTGGCACCAAGACAAGGTAATGTTTTTTAATTTTCTCCAATGTCTGACAAAACTATAATGCAGTCCCAAACGACTCTGGACTTTA